TGTTCAGACGCGGTCCTTACTGCACCAGCGGCGGTGATGGGGGTGCAGGCTTGCTGGAGATATTGTAAGGGCCGCCTCCGAACATTCCTCGCTGAATCTCCACCAGAGGAATGATGGTGGCATGTAGACGAGACAGCAGCGGGTCCTTGTCTGGCAGTGTTGATCGCTGATTCGTCAGCTGCTGCAGGTTCTCCTCAAACGACTTGTCGGATCCCAGCCCATGGCGCACTTCCACCGGTAGCAGGTTGGTAGCATTGAGAGCACAGGAAAGGCAATTGGCGACTCTGTGTGCACTACCAGGGACTCCAGCCTCATTTTCATGGGCGGCTCCATGTTTAGGCTTAGTATGTCCCGCCTTGGACACCGTTGCCGGGGCCCTCTCGGGTGGCCTGGGCAGAATGGGTCATGCTCCCCCTAACACCGTCAGCTTCCGTGGGAGGTAGCAGCAGGTGGTGCCGGTGTTCTGCAGAAGGCAGGATGAGAAACAATACGCAGGACGATTAATGTTGAGAGTCCCATGATTCCTGGCAGAAGGTTCACCTCAAGCTTCAGCTACCTGCAGCAATGCCGGTTCCCCGGTTCCGCGCCCCACCACCCTATTGTGTACCTTATGGCTTGACCACCTTCCAGAGACCCGCAGTGATGGTCCCGAGTGGGCTCTCCGGCATGATGCTCAGGAGCATCCCCGCCAACAGCAGAAAAAGGTAAAAAACCCTAAACCCTAAGATTAGGGCTGATTGTGAATCGCTAAACCTCGGTTTGGTCCGTGTTACATTGTGCACCTGTAAAGCTTGCATGTTGCTAGGTACACGATAAACACGTTGTGGTACCTAAAATTGTGTTTGTGTGAGTTTGACAGGGTAAGAATGCTCATTTATGGCATACGTAGATTATGGGAAGGGGGATGCAGAGGGGTTTTACAGGGATAGATGGGGATGTGAGGGGGGTTAGCCAGTTAGCCGGCTTGACAGACTAGGGGCATTAGGGCTGATTGAGAAGCGCTAAAGGGCCTATTTGGTCCATGTTATGTATGTGCGTCTGTAAAGCTTGCACGTTGCCAATGGTGCATGAAACACGTTGTGGTACCTGAAACTGTGTGTTGTGTGAATGTGACAGGGTACGAGTGCTAATTTATGGTATGCGTGGGAAGTGCAAAGGTGGATGTAAATGAGTTTTACAGGGATAGAAGGGGATGTGAGGGGGGTGTATCGGTTAGCGATTTGACAGACTAGGGCATTAGGGCTGATTGAGAAGCGGTAAAAGGTGTGTTGGTCGATGTTACATTGTGTGTCTGTAAAGCTTGCATGCTGCTAGGTACACGGTAAACACGTTGCGGTACCTAAATTTGTGTTTGTGTGAATTTGTAGGGGTAAGAATGCTAATTTATGGTATACATAGATTATGTGAAGGGGATGCAGAGGGGTTTTACAGGGATAACTAACCGCGGTTAGTCGGTTAGGTGACTGCCCTGCATACGCTGATATGTGTACAGAGCTTCACCTGCCGCCGTGCCACCAAGCACGGGAGAACATGGAGTGGAGCGGTGGCCATGGCGGGACTGCCCTGGCAGGCTGCTGTTCGTGCCGAGGTGCCGCTGCCTATTGTTCGGGTTGAGCAGTAACAATCAAACCAGTCTCAGAGCGGTAGGATTGTGCTTGCTGCCCAGGCCGGTGCCAAATGCCATGATGCACAAAGGCAGCGGGCTTGCCCGGTAGGTTCGCCGGCCGCGGGACACAAGCCCCTGACTGCGTAGTAGGCCCTGACACGCGATTACATAACAGACGCCTTTTTGGGGGCCCCAGCGCGAAGCGGTCCGGGGGTCCCCCCCCCATAGGGATGACCATGCGTATTAGGGTTGAATTAGTTAAGCTGGAAACTGTACCGCTGCATAGTAGGCAAGTTAACACACAAGAGCCGCATGTAACGCCGCCTCGTCAGGTGCTAACGAAAAAAAGGTCGAATATGACTCGACGGCTATGCCGTTCCAGCATTTTGCCTGCCTTATCCACCACGCCAAGTACAATACAAAGATGACGGTTGGGCTGCTGCCAATTAGCCAACTCCGCTCTCTCCCCGTACCAAACGAATATACAGGAAAAATTGGATGGTTCCATGGCTGCTCTCAACGCTGCTCCGGTCAAGCATTCCTTTACACAACGAAAGCATAAGCCCAACCCACAGGAACGCCACGAAATTATTTTTTTCACATGAATAAAAGCATTTGAGTAAATTCATTTTCATAGACTGGCGCTGAAGTAGTTGCACTCCCAAGAAAGGATGGGTAGCCGAAAAGCTGTGTTGTGATAAAGGAAAGTTCCATCACTCATATAAATACTTCAGATTGTTCTTTATTAACAACACTTTACACTGGCGAAGGTGGTGGCGTTTATGTGAACATTTAAATGCAATACGACATGTGTATACGGGCGGCAAACCAGAAGAGCCCCACAAACGCGGACAGCAGCCATTATCAGGTAAAGTGTTATTCCACACAGACGTCTTAACTTCCAAAACATTATAACGGCGCTAGATTCGCTTCCAGTCGACGCGTCACCGTTGCCAACGACTTCCCGCATTTGGCTATCCTACGCAAGCGTTCTCAGCATGCCACATTTTCCGTAGGAATAAAGTCTGTTATGTTCAGGTGGTCTGCGCAACAGCTCTTCCAGGGTCCAGGACCATGGCAGAAACAGCACAGCCACCGGAGGAGAGCAATGTCTGTGTGGCCGTCAAGATTCGTCCTCTTGTGGCGTCTGAGATTGATGACGGTTGCAGAGAGAGTTTGTTTGTGACACCGGGCTGTCCGCAGGTTGGTCTCCATTCACAGTTTCCTCAGGCCCGATACAGCCAAACATTAATTGGAGTTTGTCAACGTGTCACAGGTTTCAACGGGTCAACATACGTTTACATATGACCATGTTTTTGGCGAGGGAGGTACTGCGCCGGACCAGCTCTATGCGCGGTGTATCGCGCCTTTGGTTGATGGCCTCTTCAAGGGCTACAACGCAACCGTGTTTGCTTATGGCCAAACTGGCTCTGGGAAAACATTTACAATGGGAAGCGAGTACAGGCCGGGAGCACGCTGCCGTGGTGTTATACCTGACACTATTAACGACATCTTTAACCGTATCGATGCGGCGAAGGACCGTGCCATCACCGTGCGCGTAAGCTTTGTGGAAATCCACAAGGTACGTCACAACTCCTGTTTCTAGGGGAGGACGTGCTGTGGGTCTTGCGCTGTCGCCGCTTGTCATAGACCTGTCGGTGGAGTGGCTTCAAACTTGGTAACAGTTTACGTGCTGCACGCATGTTTCGTGGCTTTTTCCTTACACGTGCAACAGGAGGAGGTTAAGGACCTGCTTTTGCCGGCAAGCAACGGACCAAGGCCTGCGGTGACGATACGGGAGACTCCAAACGGTGATGTGTCACTGTACGGTGCCGTGGAGAGGGAGGTCCGCAGCCGGGAGGAGATGGCGGAGGTGCTGGAGCTCGGGACCCTATGCCGCTCTACTGCTTCGACAAACATGAACAACCGCAGCAGCCGCAGCCATGCAATCTTTACGATTACCATGGAGCAGCGGCGTCAGGTGCAGCAAGCAGCGGCGGCACAGGGGGAACAAGGTGAGCGTCCAGGATATGGCAGGATATGGAGGGCTTAATGCACATATTTAATGCTAGAACCAAAAACGTTTCAAGGTGGCCTTGGCGGGCCCACAAATGTTGGAGCTATCATTGTGATACCCTGGGCCACTTGGGTCGATGGACCAGTGATTGGGAATACACGTTGCTGCATCACAGGGATTGACGACGATGGGGAAGAGGACGATGAGAATACTGGCGAGGAGGTTGAGGGCGTGGAAGACTTTCTGGGAGCCAAGATGCATCTGGTGGACCTAGCCGGCAGCGAACGCGCTAAGCGAACGAAGGCTGAAGGTGCGGACATTTTAAGAGTGTTCGATGAGGGAAGTCCCTTCAGATGGTAACTCCGATCCATTTTCGGAAACACCTGTTCTTTGTTACGCACCCACAAGATAGTCCTGAGATATCCGTTAATCTTATGCGACAGGTGCACGGCTGCGGGAAGGAATCCACATTAACCGTGGCTTGCTGGCCCTTGGAAACGTCATTAATGCTATCGTGGACAACCACAAACATGTTCCATATCGCGATTCAAAGCTTACGCGGTTGCTGCAGGTGCGGTCATAGTACGAAAAGTTGCAGCAACCCTATGGGGTAGCCATTGTTATTGGCCCCTGGCCTATTGGTTGTTTCTACTAAATGGTTGGCCCCGTGAATTTTGTCCTATATCCATGGACGCTGACTTGGCAGTGCTATTGCTCCTGCAGGACTCGCTGGGCGGGAACAGCCGCACAGTCATGATCGCCTGCGTTAGTCCCGCAGACAGCAACTTTGAAGAAAGCCTAAACACGCTCAGGTGATTGTGCCGTAGCAGATGGAGGTGAAATATAACTTGCGGGTGTGATTGGGCAGTGGGTTGCTGTTTTGTTATGTTATGTAACGAAAAAAACTGAGGGACACACGATGGTATACTCCTTGGAGCATGCCGGCGTTCCTGCCACCCAATCAGCATGCGCAGCCCATTGGACTTAATGGGGTCGATAGGACACTCCTAAAATCTGTCGCGCAGGTACGCTGACCGTGCACGTCACATCCGCAACAAGCCAGTGGTGAATCGTGACCCGGTGGCGGCTCAGCTGGCAGTGCTGAGGAACACAATCGCGCAGCTCAAATCGGAGAATGTTTCGCTCAAACGTGCACTAGCAGCTTCCGGTAACGAGGGGTGCCTGGACGCATTAGGAACAAGCGGGCTCGGTAACAGCGCGCTGGAGAGCTTAGTGGATCGGCTTACGCAGGAGAATAGCGCTTTGGAGTCGGAGAACATGCGCCTCAAGATGGATTTGGTGAGTACGGTAGTTTGGCCTGAAGCCACTGCTGCGTTACTACGCTGTCACAGTTGCTGCTCCTTGACTGCGACACGGTGGATACAAGGCATTGCAACTGGTAGCTTTGCTATTCATGGCAAGGCAACGGCCTGGGCTTCCGGAGACGCTTCCTATCCTGAGTGTGACAGGCAAAGCGCATGTGGTGTAGCGCTGGTATATGTACATGTAAATGATACGTGTGGTGTTCACGCCGGTCGTCTACAGGAGGACTTAAGGCAAGACCTGGCAGCCATCACGGACAAGTGGCAAACTGCACAGGCGCAGTGCGACCTATTGCGAATGAACCAGGCGGCTGCTGCTGCCGGTCTGCAGCACCGTCAGGACAACCCCGGTGGGCCGGACGGGGCCGAGCTGCCCATGCCTGGCCTGGACATTGTCAAGGGCTACGTGGCCCGCATCGCGGAGCTGGAGGCTGAGGTGAAGTCCATGAAGTCATTGGCGGTTCACCTTCCCTACATGTGCGTGCTGGACAGGGCATCATGTGCTAGGTTTAGTTCAAATCTCTATGGCGCTGTGTCGAGCCGAGAAAAAGATCGTACATAAATTCATGGTATAGAATAGTCTACGGATCGTGCCATGGTATAATTGATAGGCCTGAAAACAGATGGTCTATAGACAGTCCCCAACTTTACACACGACGATCTAATAGCTGCGGATCCACGGCGGCTCAATTGCTGCGTTGGATAAATATGAACAGCACGAGAGGTTTTGAGCCTGTCTGGCATAGCGGCATTGAGACCGCTGCTACGTATGCCTGATGAATGGGGCTTTTCCCGGGAGACGCACTTGTTCATTAAGCTTGAGCTACATGCCTGATGGCCCGTTGGTGGGCCTACAATAGCCGACCCTCCCTCAACCGTTACTAGCGTCCCAAGGGTGGTGGCATGCTGTAGTACATTGCCGTTGGGGTCAGAAGTGTTACTGTGACATTCCTTTACTGCTTCTGATCATTTCCTGCTCTTAGATATTAAATGGGCCGGATTGCAATTTCGTTCTTGGGCACTTTACAGGCGGCGGCGCGTGCATGGTCTGGAGCCCCGTACGCCGGGTGGTGTGAAAACGGTCGGAGAACTGGATCCAGCATCACCGGGTATGTCCAGCGTCACCGGGTACGGGGTACAATATCGAGTTGCCCGGGCTCATAGCATGAGTGCAATTGGTGTGCGTGCCAAGGCCATGCAACGCCGTCTTTCGCCAGGTGCTCTGTTGGGTACTCGTGTAGCTGCCGGAAATGGGCTGCGCTTGTTGTCGCGCCAGTTAATTTGGACGGCACGCCGACGTGCTCGGAATTCCCATGCATTCAGGGCCCGCCTCGATGCTCGACGGCCCAATTACACTGGACGGTGCTGACGGCGGTGGGGATGGTGAGGATGACGCGGTGCTCAACCAGCCGGGCGATCTGGCTGTCGAGGAGGAGGAGATTTTCATGGCTGAGCTTGCAGCTCACACGTATGTGCCAGGATGGAAGGCAGGGCCTTGGGTAACAAGTTACAAGTTCCGCACGAATGCAGGGGTGTCCGTCAAAGCCCGGGGCCCATGGACTATACTTATTGAAAATTTATACCGCCATACTAATTGAAAACAGCACTAATGGTTAAACCGGGCAAAGGCTTAGAGTTTGCATACATTCACCATTATTTTGCACACGTGAAGTGGCGGACTGTATTGCAAGCCGGTGGAACTTGTCCTGAACACCGTTGCATGCACTTGCGTAGTTGAGGTGTATGGCCCCCATGTCCCGATGCAGGCTGAGCCAAGAGAAGATGAAGAAGGAGGTGGCGCTGCTGCAACGTCAGCTGGAGGCCAAGGAGCGCAAGATGGTGGAGCTGATGGTGAACGCGGGCGCAACGCCGGCTCTCAAGCAGCATTATGACAGGGCGATGGCAGACTTGGAAGCCCAGCGGGATACTCTGGTCGCTGAGCGGAAGGCACTCATGGAGGTGCGCCATCCTCGAGCGCGGGTTGAGGATGTACCCAATGCAAAAATGACGGCATGCTTTGAAAGGGGGGGTAATTTGTTGAAGTTGCGGGCTAAGAAGGAAGTAACTTGATCCTTTGGAAAGTACAGCTTAGGGTTTGGCTCATGTTCCCTATGATATCATGCTCGATCATTCTTGTCCCGAGGACAAGCCATTGCGCAAACCCTTCTGCGGCCATTGCATCTTGTATAGTTGTTACTAAATGTGCATACCGGTGGGGATTTTTAACCCACCCTCCACAGAAGCTGAATGCTGTATCGGCAGCAAACGAGGAGGAGCGCAAGCGCCTGGAGGCCAACTACATGGAGCGCATCCGTGATTACGACGAGCGGCTGAAAACGGCAAGTCACATATCGCCTTGCCCAGGCTTGTTTTTTTAGATGGAGGTGTAGATATAGGTCATGCAGCTCAAGTGGCGTTCAAGTAGTGCAGCCGGGTTTGCATATATGCTTCGGGTGCCCTCCCTGTCCAAATGCTGAGGCCCTATACGCCCAAATGCAAATACATGCTACACACTATACTGGAAAGGGCTTCTGTGGTCGCTGTTGCCCACTTGCACACTGCAGCTGCGGCATCAAGAGCGCGAGTACGCGCGCTTGCAAAAGATCAAGCAGCGCACCGAGGACGCCCATCGCCGTCTCTCTGCTGACATCATACGGCTCAAGCAGCAGAAGGTCAGCCTGGGTATTTAGCATCTTAACATGCTTTGTACATGCATGGGAGGTTGGGCTGACGCCGTGCTGAAGTGTGTTCCGCCGTCAATTTACGAGCTGCGGGGCCGCCGGCATGCATTCCAGTGACGGCTAGGGGGCCCTCCAACGGGCATTTGTCGGTATATCGTCTCACTGCATGTACCAAGCACATGTGGCAATTGTGTCGAGGTTCCGGGGCTTGCCTTTTGCCGGTGGGTGAAAATTGGAGCTGCCTTGTGACCCAATAACCTCTCGTAACCCCTCCCACAGGTCGCGGTCCAGAAGCAGCTTGAAGCTAACGCGAAGCAGTTTGCGCAGTGGCGGCAGGAACGCGAACGTGAACTGGGCCAGCTGCGCAAACAGAGCCGCAAAGACCGTGCTCAGATTCAGCACCTGCAGGCCATGGCGGTAAGGTTGTCCGTTATCGTCAATGCGCTTTGAAGAGACATTGGTACGTGCTTTAGCCGCCATGTAATGACATGTGATGCTGACGAGGTAAATCTACCTAGGCATTGTACCCCCTTTCCCATGACGCGCAAGTTTTCAGGCCGAGCTCCTATCCCGTGGCCCTGCAGGCCAAGCAGTCTGCTGTCCTGCAGCGGAAGATTTCGGATGCCACTGCAGCACGCAAGCGTATCAAGGTAAGAGAATTGGCATTCCTTTTGTGTGTTATCTGTTTTGAGAGCTTAGCATTCCTACTCATGATGTCTGCCAACTAGCTTTCTCGACCGGGCATAGCACTCTTGACTATTTCTACCCTATCTTTACTTTTGTAGGAGCTCGAGGAGGAGAAAAGACGAAAGGCATCGCAGCCACAGGCGACGGCTGCTGTGGTCACACAGCCAGCAGGGGGTGGCAACGTTGAGATTCAGCCAAACGCCCAGGTATGGCTCGTATCCGCGAACCATTGTCTACAGTGTCCTGCGGACATGTTAGATTAGGTGTTGCTGTGTATCTTGTCCACGGCTCCGTGATCCGTTGTCAAGCAGCTCAAGCAAATTCGCTGCTGCTACAGGCGCCTCTGCTACGCACAGACAAGGAGCGGCGGGAATGGCTTCAGAGAGAGCTTGAAATGTGCAACATGTCGTGCGAGTTCCGCAAGGTCATTGACGGCGAGCTTGCTCAACGCGCAGAAGCTACTCGGAAGCTTAAGGTGACGGGGTTCTTCTCCTAGCACAGATTGGCGATTTGTGCTGCTTACAAACAAAGTAATGAATTGTGATTGCATTCTCTTCCCAACAGGAACTCGAGAAACGCCTCACGTATCTGGATCAGACACAGCCAGCCAGTCCACTTCTTATGGCTGGGGGGCACGCCGTCCTGCCCTTCAGCCCCAACACTGCGTCCACTATGGCCATGGGCGCTGGTGCTGCCAGTGACCCGGAATACCGGCAAAAACTTCTGACGAAGAAGAGGGAGCTGGAGGAGAAGGTGCGTGAATCGACAACAGCACGCAACTGACGGTCCTCTCTTAAGAGTCCACACCACGTTCCGATGGGCAATGATTGCCCAATTGTTTACTAGAGAGCCTCTACAATTCGCTGCTGTATCCGCGGTCGTTGCAGTAAGTAGGGTTTATATGCAGTGCAGTTGTTGTGTCTCCACAGCTCGCTTACCAACACGCCTTGCAATATGCGTTTTCCGCTATAACTACAAAGGTGGCATACCATAACGAGCAAATTACTGAGCTGCAAGCGGACTGGGAGCGGCAGAAGGCGGAGGAGGAATCCCGCGGCGGTGGTGCTCTTGATCCTCGGCGGTGGACCGGGCTGCGTACCGTTGCGGAGTGCCGCGAGCTGCTGCGCACGCTGTTCCGGATGAGCGTCGAATCCAAGTATGAAACGGCCGTGCATGCCATTCGCATCCTGCACACCACAGCAATGGCTACCCCATCGACATATGCACATGAAAGGCGCACCAGTTCAATCAAATGCTAACTCAACTTCGCTACGTACTGATCTGTCTTGACCTAAGCATGCAGCCATTCTAGACCAGCTTATGGCCCGTACAGCCCCTTCCTTTCTACAGATGTACATGCCCCTTACTCTGTTTGTGTGTATGACCTGTCTGCATGGTGTGATGTCCGCTGTCTTTCTCAATGGATCCTACAGGACCCTGAGCAACGAGCTGACCGTCGATATGGTGCGGTACATGGAGGAGGTTGACGTCCTGCGCGTGCAGCTGGATGGTGCGCAGAAGAAATCTGCGCAGTACCGCAAGCTCGCAATCACACTTCAGGCCGCTGCAGCACACGTCGCGGCTGCACCACCCCACAGTTCCATGTCAACGCAGGACGAAACCGATAAGCAGGTTTGTTTTTACTGTTGGCCTTCCCGGGATCCCGTCCTCGGATCTTATTCTGGTTGTGGTCTTTATAATCTCCATATTCCATTATCTCCATAATCTATTGTGCCTATAGTACATGGCACGTGGTTTAAAAGTGCCCAAGATATACAGTCACTTCCAATTGCGTTTCATTGTCGCCCTGCACTTCATGGTCGCTGCAAATGGGTTACGTACACCTGTGCGTATACCAGCATCTCCCGGTTTCCTCGGTTAACCCATACTGCTGTGTTTGTGCACATGTGCAGGTAGATGCCGTCCTTGAGGCACTCAACGTGGTGCGCAACAACACGCCATCGGCTGTTACAAGCCGAGCGAACAGGAACGTTGGACTTGCCAGTGAGGAAGTGGAGGCTACGCCAAGTATGCTGCACTCCGGTGCTGAACCCACAGCGACCGGCGGGGGCGATGTTGAAATGCAGGACGCGGGGTCCCCCGACACGCCTGCTACCTCCAGGGAGGGGCCGACTAAGGTACGCGTGCACACTGACGCATACAGGGCCGCGCGTAGGTTTCTTTACCGCTGACTTCCGTACCCCTACGACCTCTTCTAATGTCGACATTCTGACCACATGGTACACATCAGACTATAGCTGTTTGAGTAAGTACTGTCATGCATATTATGCATCTGCACATTTAGTTGCCACCTTCACTTTCACAGCAATGTGTTTTTTGCTTTTCATAAAGTGTGACGCTGCCCTTAAAGTAGTCACAGGATATGTGTGAATCCCTGCTCTGCACCAACCAGGCCCTGGAGTTCCTGTCGCCTGTACCACGACGAGGGTTGCCATCGTACGATGCTGCTGGCGGAGCCATGAAGCGTTACTCGCCTGACTACCGGCACAGCAATCGCGGGAGCGATGGCCAGGTTAACACTATCGACAAGGTAGGGTGGCCGTGCTTTGTGGAGGAGCTCTGCTATTGCTGCCACTCTTTCCCATGTATTTCGTTCATGATATGTGTTGCACACATCTTCGAATGTCTGCTTTTGATGCCGTGTGGTTTCCGCAGGCCAAACGAGTGATGTGTGGCACTGAGCAAAGTGATCACCGGAGGTCGGATGATATGGAGGTGGACGAAGGAATCGAGGTGAAGACCCGCCCCGAGCAGGCTGTTGTTGAAGATAGTGACGTGGAGGATGACCAGGGCAGCTCGGACGATGATGATGTTGTTGATAATCAAGACGATGACGAAGAGGAAGAGGAGGACGAAGAGGATGAGGATTCCTCTGGGGATGAGGACAGCGACGGTGACCGTGACTGGAACCCCAAGAATGCCACCCCCGCACCAAAGTTCCGCTCCTCACGTGCAAGCCGTCGATCTTTGGCTTGCGTGGGTGCCGGTAACACGGCTGGAGGCTCCAGGCGCAATAGCCGCCGCCCGTCTCCTACTGACACGTCCTCTGGGGATGAGGATAAATTCGCGGAAGAGCAGTCAAAAAGCCGCCGCGGCAGCAGGATAGGTGCAGGATCTCGCCGGGGGACCACCTCTAGGCGCAACAGTGACGATAATGATCCTGCTGCAGCACTTGAGGCGCCCGTGCTTGACGACATCAACCTACGCCGCATGTGCGCCGGCGGCCCTGAGGCGCGTCTGCAGAAGCTCACTGTGGCCGCGCTCAAGGTCCGTTCAGCTGCTGTAACCCACCGTTTGCACTGCCAGTCACATCGAAACACGCACCCAGCCGTGTATTTTTCGTGTCCTGTCTAGCTGGGTAGTAGATGCCGGCCTGGGTCGATATAGGAAGCAAGTTTTGGAGTGTTGGGTAATCGGGTGTGGCTAACCCATCGTTTTTTCTTCGACTCTGCAGGAGGCTCTCAAAGGCAAAGTCATCGACGGGCAGAAGTGGGTTGCAGGCTCGAAGACGCGCGCGACAATGATTCAGGATTACCGCAGGATGTTGGGGCTGGACAAGGTACCGTCTCAGCATCAGTCATTATCCCACTCACCAGACTCAGACGGGGGAGGGGCTGCCAAGTACACAGAGCCCAACGAGGGGAACGATGCAACAGCGAGCAGGCGCTATCGGGCAGAGAGCAGCGGCGGCGGTGGGGCTGAAATTAGCGTGGGCGGCGCGAAGCAGGTTGTGGTGCCGCATGTAGACGCATCGCAAAGATCGAAGAGGAGCTCAGAAGATGACGAGGTGAGCAGTTCCTGGCGTCCTGGGTCTTACTGTAAACGTGTTGTTATTGCGCACCTCACACAGCTCGCTATAGTGGTTTTTGTCACGTGTATTTTTCGTATAGGATTTTCACATTCATGCTGTTGTAGTGCGGTGCAGTGCCAAAGACACGTGAAGTCTGTCTCAGGCCGGCACTGCCCCGACCTTTTTTTTTGGGTTTAAAACCACCCCGACCACGGTATAAAACCGCGCTCCGAACGTGTGTAGAATATGAATTCTAAACAACAACACGTCGTTCTGTGAGCAAAGGCGATTTCAGTAAGGTTGTGGATTTCGGTAAGGCTGTCGTACAGATGCTTGATGTTCAGTTCCGGTGAATTCTTACAAACTTCCTTGACAGCCATATCAGTTTCAGAAGATTTCATAATCATAAATAGATTTGCATATTTCTTAATAAGCTCATCATTACTGTGTAGCTATCGCGCTACAACACATGCACTACTGCCTTCCGTTTTTTTTCTCCCTCCGGTGGCTACCGCAGAGCTTTACCTTCTCGCCGCATCTCCCGACGGCACCTGCCGTGACCGCTGCGGGCCCTTCGGGCCCTCCGGCTGCTCCTCCCGTCGGCGGACATCGCCCGCCCAGCCCCTGCCAAACGCCATCGGGGCGGCGGGTTCCAAATGGAAATGGCATGGGTCCATGGGCTCGTTCATCCCTTATGTCACAGACCCACTCTGCTCGCCCCTACACGACGTGGGCATCCTCCCTGCGTGCAACAACTGTCCCGACAACCGACGGGAATGCTGGCGCAGCAGAAACAGGGGCACCCCAGGCCGCCGGACCCCCCTTGGTGCGCACAAACTCTGCGTTATGCGCCACCAGCTTGCTGCCACGAGGCACTGCTACAGGCACAGCTGCTCAACCGGCTGCTGCATCTGCAGATGTGGGCGTATCTGGTGCAGCCACCTGCAGGCGTACAGCATGGGGTCAGCCCTCAACTGCCCAAGGGTTGCAGCGAGAGCCACTGTCTTACCGGGGCGCGGTCTTGTCCTCGCCGCAGCAGAGCACAAGCCCTAACTTACCGCGGCCACCGACTGGCCCTGGGGGCTTTAGCCCTCCCAGCAGCAGCATGGGCTCCCCCACGCCGCGCTCCATTCCCAGGTCTGCCGGTCGGCCTACCAGCGCTCGCATGTACTCTCCAGGGATGTCTCCGGACTCACGTGAACAACGGGGCTTCTTGTACAGCGGTGGCGAAAACATGCAGCCTGACGTCACCACGCCCCGTGGAACTATGAACGCGTCATCGGAGGGCAAGAGAACCCCGCTCACTTCCTTGTACAAGGAAAAGGCGGCGGCAGCGCGTGAACGCTCTGCGGCCCTGCGTGTGAGCATGCAGAAGAACTGGGAGCATCAAGACCAACAGCACTTGCGTGGGAGCAGCCTGAACGGTGCAACGACCGTAAGGATATCTGTTAACGGACCGGTCGGGACCACTGGCACGGTCACGTCCAGCCTGGAGGGTAGGTAAGGGTATGCGGCGGTCAAGGGGCAGTGTAATGGCAGTCCGTACTCAAGTTGGATGTGTGGCTGGGCGTCAATACAACAGTGTCCGTGGTAAGAGCTTGGAAAGTCTATGGGGTTTAAATGGTGACTGGGAGCTGCCAAAAAGCGAAGAGGATAAGGTAGCGGAACGAGACAAGAGTTGGGCTGAAGTGCTTGCTGCCGTCCAGCTGTTTGCCGTTGACCCTGATCGGCCATACTCCATGCATGGCATATATTTGGGTGTGCCGAAATGGCCCACCACCGACTGCCCACTTAATGTATCCGTAAAACGGCACCTGCTGATATAAAGTTCTACGATGTAGGAGTTGGCGGGATGGATGCGGATGTTAGCAGCTAGCTACTGTTGCATTTGCTTAGCCTTTTCGTTATCGCACTGTTCGGTCCACGAAATTTGTTGGGATCCCAGTGTTGGCATCCCAGTTCACTAACTACAGCTGCTGCTTCCTCTTCGGGTCGTTCTCAGGTTCACTGCGTGGCAATGCAACTGGCCTCCGCGACAGCACGGGTAGCAGCATCGGAGGAAACAAGCAGCAGAAAGCCATTTGGCGCTGAGGAAGCGGGTCCGACAAGTGCCCCGGTGAGCTTCGAATTGACCACTTAGCAATGATCGAGGATTTTAAATCCAGCTATAGTGTAGCTTGCGTCAGTATTCAGAGGTTCTTTTGACGCATCCGTTGAATGTGTGGATAGGATATGACTCGCCAGGCGAGGATTCAGGGTAGACCAGCTATGGAATTATGGCAGTGCTGCATTCGTGTAAATAGAAGGTTGGCTTAGGATTGAGTGTGTGCTACTATGAAGGGGCTCTAATTGGGCGATTAAGCAGCGTCTTGAAGATTCATCGACTCTGATGTGCGTATGGGCGTGGCAGACTGTCAATACGTGACACGTGAAGTGTTCAGCGCATTTTTTTCGTCGCAGAACGGGGTTCTCGGCAGACTGTCAATACGTGACACTTAAGTGTTCAGCGCATCTTTTTTTTCGTCGCAGAACGGGGTTCTCAACAGTAGATCAGGTTGTCGTAGGCAGGGGCTGGGATGCGGAGCATGGCTTAGAAATCTCAGGAGGCCGTTGGGTAGCTAGAGATAGTGTGTCGCCGTGCAACTTCGGAGCCAATAGAGGTGTGACTTGCTGTTCTCTCATTGCGGTGGTTTGCAGTAATTGGTCGCACCCGACTGAATGGACTGAACAAAGACATTGCTATATGTCATGCGTGTACTTCCAATGTTTGTAAATTGGGCTATAAATAACTTGCCGTACTTCGCCTAACACACATTATTGACTTGGAAAGCGCTGTGGTGGGTGAGTCTGAAAACCGTCCTTGAGGTCGCCAACACGACCTCCTGGTCGCCAGGGTTTGGAGGTTACAGCGAGTAAGCCAACCTTACAGCATTATGCGATAATGTAGCATTATATGTAACTTAGCTATCCTGGAAAAGCAGGATACAGGTGGGATAGGGGCGGCTGCTATTACGGGAACTGTGCATGCACGAAAGAGCTGTGGAGGAACACATCCCTTCATTTCCCCAAAACGATTCCTTCGTCAACAGGGTCAGGTTACAGAGCATCAAAGTTCCGAAACCCCCGGGGGCGGGGTCCCAAATCGATTGTCATTGTAAACTTTGCATCTGTAATGTATCTTGGGCCCCGTATGTATTTGTGCAGTGGGTGTTCCCATGCATACAGGAAATAGGGAGAGACACCAACCCAAACCACATGCGCATGCACGGCCCTCAGCCGTACGGCATCCCGGACTGGATGAACCCAGAAGCGGCGGCGAAGACGGTAACAGGGCATTCCGGCGCGTTGAGACGGGAACCTCTTGATGGTATCGACGGGGCAAGCTTCACCCGCTACTTCCCAACAGCGCTGAAATGCCAATTAACTTCGCAGCGCCGGCGCGGTGCAGTTGCACCGTGCATGATCGCAGGCCATGTCGCCACTTGAATCGCTCACCACATGCGGAGCCCAAACCTGGAACGGCCGAGCTGCCAAACAAGCCCCACATGGCATACGACACCATAGCACCGCTCTCGTCTCACGTCTCACCCGGTGTATCCATGCACTTTCGTTTCCTGATGCCCCGTTCCATGAGCCCTTTCCCTCCAGGGAGGTGCTCTCTGCTCTGCACTTCCACGCGCATACCCCTGTTTCGCCTCTCCCTGGGCCGCCCTCTTCCCACCGGCCCTCCTCTCCGCCCACCATGTCCCAGCTCTCCGCAAATCCCTCCCAACGACCTGATCTGCGCCATCACCCCATCACCACCCTCATGCCCACTGGGGTTCGCAAACTCCCCAGCTTATTAGTTCCTACATGGTCTAACCCCACTCAAACTGTCCTGGCCCTGAACTCCGACGCTGTATCGCCCGTTCCTCGCACGCAGGGATCCTCCAAACACCAGCTCAACAGCAGTTGCTACAACAACGACAACCAACCCCCAGCTGGGCAGCTAGCCAACCAACCAGCGGCTGGTGGCCCTTCCGCCGCCGGCCACATCCAGCCCACCTCCATGTCTGCGCGCTAGTCTCCATTACCGCAAGAGGAGAGATCGTATCCGCAGTCCTGTACAACCACCCACCACACCTCTCTCTCACCGCTCAGGTCACGAGCCCGGTGGCCACGCTGAACGCGGGAACAGCGGGCAGGGGCACTGGCTTGCCCTCCTCCGGCGGGAACACCGTGTCGCCCACCAGCTGCGGCAGCTCCTCGGCCGTGTAGGTGAGGCCCTCGTACTTGGGGTGGGAGGGCAGGGGGGGCTTGTCCGGGTCCTGAGAGACAAGAAGCAGGAGCAAACCAGCAGCAGAGGTGTCTGACAGGTGGCAGTGGGGAGGGATCAAAAAGAAAATGTAACACGAAACACATGAGGTTCGGCGATGATGGGGTCCGACCGCCCCCTCTGCAGGTGCAGCGGCGCAGGCGCAAGTGCGCGGGACGCGGGGCGGAAATCCCTCTCCCCCATGTGTAACTCAGAGGGTCTGCTCCTCGGCGACCACCCCTTCCCCCCATCTGCACCCCCGGGGGAGGTCCACACACCTCGATCGGCTGACCGTCCTCATCCAGCTGCGGCTCGTCCCCACTGCCTGGTGGAATGCCGTACGCGCAGTTCAGCGCCAATGTAGGGCCCTGCATGCTCTGAATATCTGCCGCCGCAAAACACGGCATGTCCAGTGTACGATGACCTGTCAACGTATACGTCGCGCCGCCCGCCGGCACACCACGGACGAACTCGCCCCGAAAGCGCAGCGCCGGTTGGTCGTACGTTGCCTCCCCCACCAACAGCCCTTTCTTCCACACGCCGTGCAGGCACCCACGTGCCGTGTCCCAATACACACCGGGGCCGTGCTTCTTCCCGGCCTCCCAGGCCCCGGTGTAGACGGAGCCGTCGGGGTAGCGGTACTGGCCCTGCCCCTCAAATTTATCGGCCGCGAACTCCCCCACATAGGCGCCCCCGTCGGGGAAGACCATGACGCCGCGGCCGTGGCGCTTGCCGCCCTGGTACTCCCCGGCGTACGCGGCGCCCGAGGCGAAGGTGTAGACCCCCGGGCCGTGTTTGACGTCATCTTGGTACGAGCCAAAGTAGGTGTCGCCGTTGGCGAAGGCGGCCCGACTCGTGGCGCATGTCCGGGCCTCGCCGGGGGCCAGCGTGCCTATTCACGTGTGCGTGTGTGTATTCCGTAAACGGGGGGAAAAAGAGGGAGAAGTGGGGATGGGCATGCCGTGTGGGGTTGAAATGACAAACGTCGTGTGTGTGTGTGTTTGCGTTTCCTCGGGGATCAAAACTGGTCTGCTACAGGCCAACCGCCTAACCAACCCCACAACGGCTCAACCGCCGACCATGTCCGCACCCGCTGTTACCCGCGTTCCTTACTGGTTGGTTACTTGCACTCTGTCACTGTCGCTAGTTCCCCTGTTTGCTCCCCCCCTTCCTGCTGGGGTATGCAACCTTCCAAAGGGACAACATCCCCCCCTCCCCCTCCCCCTCCCCCGGCACCCGCAGCAAACACTCTCACCATCAAAGGCAATCAAATTCTTGATGTCATGTTCCACAGCCTCCAAACTATCACCGCCGTACGTCAGGCCCAGTGTACGGAAACGCCACGTGTGCGGCCGAAGATCCGTCGTCACCTCCTCGCCCTCTTCCTCCGCTGCCGCCAACGCAGCGGCCTCCTTCGCCTTCTGCGCCTTGGCTGTCTCCAGGTAGCTCTTGAGCTGTGTGAGGACGGCCTCGGGGTCCTGGGAGACGAAGGCCCCCGCGTTGTCCACCTTGGCCTCCTTGAACACGTTGTAGGCGGAGTCGCCGTACTCCTTGTAGAGCTTCATGAGCGCCACCTGGGTGCGGCAGGGATGAGGAGTGTTGTACGGAGATCTATCTATCTGTCTATCTATCTGTGTCTGTCTGTCTATCTATCTATCTGTCTATCTGTCTGTCTCTCACCTGCGTCACCCCCTTATCCGCCTCGTACTTGGACAGCACACTGAAGTCCGCCAACAGCATCTCCGGGTTGGGGGCGGGGGCCTCCCCTGCAGCCACTGCGGCGGCGGCGGCGGCGGCGGCCTTGCTGCCGGGTACGGGCGCCTCCCCCCGCGTGACGTCCACCACCCTCACCCGTACAGTACGGATGCGGGAGAAGCCCTGCTCCTCGTCGTAATTGGTCACCAACAGCACCATGGACCGAATCTGAGGGGGGTTCGGTGTTTCAGATTCCGGGGGGCGAGGGGGAAAGATGCACCCGGAGGCGTGAGTTGTCAGTGGGGGTTATACACACTATAAAGAGAAGGGGGAAGAGATTCGCGGAGGACATGGTACCTGGAGACGTGGAAGGGAAGAGCGGGCGGAGTCGACAAGAGACGAGGGCAGGTAAAGCGAGTGTGTGTGTATATATGTCTGTTGCACATCCATCCGGGCCTGACGCAGGCCAGGGACACCTAACCGTATACCCCAGCGGGAACGACCGCCGAAGCGCTCCGTCATGTTGAATCCACAGGTGCCACAGGGCGCTGCTCCTCGGCCTCCCACACCCCAACAGAAACTCCAAAGGTGCCTAAAGGGCGCCCTCCGGTGCAGCAAACCCGAGTTCTCCCCCCACCCCC